ATTCTTTAGCGTTGCATAGTATTCCATTGTGTGAATGTACCAAAGTTTGGTTATCCATTCCTCAGTTGTTGGACATCTAGGTTGTTTGCAAGTTTTGGCTATTGTAAATAGTGCTGCGATGAACATTGGCGTGCATATATCTGTTCTTGTTATGGCTCTCACTTCTTTAGGGCAGATTTACAAAGTTTTGGGGGATAAAAAGATGAATACATATGAGAAAGTAGAGAAAATTATAAAGTTATCAAATAAACTATGTGCATTGTAGACAGTAAGTGCTAGTGGGGTTCAATGAAGAGAAAGATTGGGATATGTGAGTAGAATATGCAAGGAAGCATTTTTAAAATGTATTTATAAAAATTTCTAAGTAAGCAGCAGACCCCTGTTTTTGCAAATTTAACATTTCACAGAACTAGAGAATATATATATATATAAATGATCAGATTGGGAATAGAGACAATGATGTTCTATCTACTCCCATAATTAGAACTGTTTTTGGATTCTTTGCATGGAACCTTGAGATACCAATAAATACAATTAGCAAACTTATTCAGAACTTTGATAATAGTGTTTAAATATCATCAATTCCTACTCATAGCAATGCTATAGGACAGAACAAAACTTCCTCATAGGGTTTCCAAGGCTGTAAATCTTTGTGGAAGCAGACAGACTCATCTTTCTCCCACAGAGCAAATAGTGGGTTTGAACCGCTGATATTTTGGTTAGCAGCTGAATGCTTTAACCACAGCTCCACCAGAGCTCCTTTATATCATTAACAACACTAATACAGTAATAGCAGGAGAGAAGGCAAAATATATGAGCATAGATAAAGAGAAGTAGGTTTAATGGTGGCAGAGCACGTTTAGGAGACATTCTCTTCCAGTTACTTCTCTGAACCAGGTTATCAGCTAAGAGTGATGTTAAAGATTGGAGGAAAAAAAGGAGAGCGAATGAACAAAGTAAACATACAGTGACTGACTGATAGGCTCGTTTGATGTCCTTCCCTTTTTTAAACCCAATCCACCCAAAGGTTTTGAAACCCATTGACAGTGGGTTGAATGGTGATCCCCAAAAAGGTATGTCCCTTATAACCTGTGAAAATCACCTTATTTGAAAAAGGGTCTTTGCAAATATAGTTAAGACTCATGAGATGAGATTATACTGCACTATCCACATGGGTCCTAAATCCAATAACAAGTATTCTTGTAATATATATGAGATCAGTCAAGCAGAAGGCCATGTAAAGATGGAGTCAGACACTGAAGTTTTAAAGTCACTAGCCAAGGAAGCCACAGAAACTAGAAGAGGCAAGGAAAGATTCTGTCCTAGAGCCTCCAGAGGGAGCACAGTACTGCTGTCAACTTGATTTCAAACTTATATGCTCCACAACTGTGAGAGAATACATTTCTTTTGTAAACCACCCAGATTGCGGTAATTTCTTATGGCAGTCCTAAGAAACTAATACACCATCCTTTCTCACTTTCTCAAGGATCTCCTTCCTAACTTTTAGTCTTCTCTCTTCCATCAATTTCTCCCTTCAAACAATTAAGAGTCAAATAGCTTTGATATGTTGGGAAGATTTGTTGCTGTTGTTGTTAGGTGCTGATGAGTCAGCTCCAACTCATAGCTACCCTATGTACAACTAAACAAAAACCTAATGAGTATAAATTTGTTATAAATACTAAAACCACTGCAACTCAACTCTAATGGTTTACTTAGAACTTGGGAAAGTGTAAGGAAAGTTGTAGAATGAAATATCTAACTTTATACTTTGAAAAGCAAATATAAGCATACTGATCAAAAGCTTAGATTCTGGAATCTGATTACAAATTTGAATCTTCACTGTAACACTTACTATCTGACCTTGGCCGTGTCACTTTTTCCTTCAGTGTTTCACTTTCATCATTGTACTATTAGCCCACACCTTATAAAATTGTTGTTGTTGTTGTTGTTGTTAGGTCCCGTCGAGTTGTTTCCAACTCATAGCGACCCCACACACAGAACGAAACAACTCCCGATCCTGCACCAGCTCCATGATCCCTGCTATACGTGAGCCCATCGTTGCAGTCACCGTGTCAATCCATCTAGTTGAAGGCCTTCCCCTCTTTTGTCACTTCTCCACCTTACCAAGCATGACATCCTTCTCCAGGGAATGGTCCCTTCTGACAACATGACCAAAGTAGGTGAGAAGAAGTCTGTCTATTCTGGCTTTAAGTAGCATTTCGGTTGCACGTCCTCCAGGACAGATCTGTTAGTTTAGCAGTCCATAGTACTTTCAGCATTCTTTACCAGCACCACAACTCAAAAGCATCAACTCTTCTTTGGTCTTCCTTATTCATTGTCCAACTCTCACATGCACAGGAGGCGAATGAAAATACCATGGCTTATGTCAGGCACACCTTAGTCCTCAAGGAGAACTATAAAATTGTGGTGAGGATTAAATAAACTGATGACTTGAATAAAATGTTTAAAACAAAAAGTGGCATATAGTAAATACTCAAAAAAATATATTAGGTATGAAACTTAAAAACTTATGAGGGTTCTGAGATCCCGTAAGTTTTCAAAAAATTGGGTAATACTTAAACAAGTTTCTTTGCTTCATACTATCTCAAGACCTTTAATATGCTGATATTCACTGTGAAAAACTGAGATGGAGATAAGAACACATCTATTTCCTGAACATACTTGGTCTTTGCCTTAGTTCTCTAGTGCTGCTGTAACAGAAATACC